CTCCCTCCCGTGTGTGTGTGTGAACATGCATATGGAGACCAGAACTCTGCCTCAGATATTGTTGCTCAGGATGCCATCCACATTGTTATTTGAGGCAGAGTTGCTCTCTTAACATGTAATTCTCTGATTTGGCTAAACTGACTGGCCAGCAAGCTGCAGGGATCTGTCTGTCTCCACCTACCCAGGTACCCAGTTGAGATTACAAGCACACTCCACCAGGCCTGGCTGTTTTACATGGGTTCTAGGGATCAAATTCAGGTCCTTAGGCATGCATGACAAATACTTTACATACTGAGCTATCTCTCCATTCCAAGTTTAGAATTTTTGTTTGTTTTTGTTTTGTTGTTGTTTTTTGAGACAGGGCCTCACTGTGCAGCCCTGGCTGGCCTGTAACTTGCTATATAGACTAGGCTGGCCTCCAACTCAGAGATCTGCCTGCCTCTGTCTTCTAAACGCTGGGATTAAAGACATGCACCACAATGTCCCACCCCTAGTTTAAATTTTTGATGAACTCTGTATGTTAAAGTTATTAAGCTTTGATTATTATATGTATTGTAAAAATGTTCTCTAATTTATATACTTTTCCCCTAGCAAAATCTAAGACTTTCTTTGAGTTTAAACTTGTTTATACTTGAGTTTTGACATAGTCTGGTTTATGTGTTTAAAATTCACGCTATGAGGGCTGGAGAGATGGCTCAGTGGTTAAGAACACTGGTTGTTCTTGCAGAAGACCTGGGTTCAAATCCCAGCACCCACATGGCAGCTAACGACTGTCCATAACTCCAGTCCCAGGAGATCCAACAGCCTCTTCTGAGCTTCACAGGCATCGCATGACATGGATGCATTTACCTACATGCTGGCAATACAGGCATACACGTAAAAAAAAACAATGATAAATAAAATTTAAAATTCACACTATGAGGAAGACAACTCCAGATACGAAAAGAGAACTGCATCAAGATTACTGTATCCTGAAGATTTAGCTTTTAATACCTTGAAATGTCAAATTAGATTCTAAAAACATAAGAAAATGGCAAATAAAAATCTTTTACAAAGTCAAAACTCTGTTTGCTGGATTTAGTACCTTCACTCAGATATTACATAAATAGAAAACTTTGTAAGATGTTCATTTCAGGAATTCCTGTTAAAACAGCTGATATTTCCAGTAGGTTAAGACTTCTAAAATCCTGAAGTAGGGCCTGACAGGTTGTGGCCACATGATGGTGTTTCAGCTCTGTTCCCTTGAAATGCTAACCTGTAGCTGGTTGATGTCTATATGAAAGTCATACTTCGGTGTTCTCTCTGGCTAATGACTATAAGATTCTGCTTACTTGCTTGCTTTTCTTATTCATGTGAGACAGGTTCTTACTATGTAGCTCAGACTGGCCTGGGCCTCACTATGTAGTCCAGGCTGGCCTCAAAGTCATGACAGTCCTCCTGCCTCAACCTCCCGAGCCCTGGAATTACAGGCAAGAGCCATCACATCTGGCTCTCCAGGGCTGTTTGAAAAGGTGTTGTTCGTTTGCACTTTGTCCTCTGCATTCTTATTACTGTGACCAGTCCTGCTTTCTTCACCTTGTATTTCAGAAAAGCCAGAGTTTTAACGGTGCTCATTTTGAACAGCTTCCTTTAAGAGAACTGTCTTCAGTTGTATTTAATTGTTATTTTGTTTAATCTCTAGAACTCTTCCTCCTGGGTGCTGTATAACATGGCTTCATTTTACTGGAGAATAAAAAATGAACCGTATCAGGTAGTGGAATGTGCCATGAGAGCGCTGCACTTCTCTTCCAGGTAAGATTCCGCCTCCGGACCTCCTGATTCTTCACCTCACTGAGACTGTTAAAGACTCATGTACAAAAAAACAGTAAGAAGCAGCATTGCGTTATAACAGTATACTTCTCATCTCACACACAAAAAAGGCAGATGTCAAAAAGTTCAAGGTGATAACTGTGTGAGATACTTTCCATTTCATTTAGGAAAATGTGTGTATAAGGTAGGACCAAAACTGGAGGAATTGGCATAAGTTAAAATAAACTTATCTTTGGAAAGGGGTGCATGTGTGTGCACGGATGTGCATGTGTGCATGCTGCCTGCACCTATGTGTGCATATGTAGATGTCAAAGATCAATATCAGGTATTGTCTTTTATTGCTGTCCACTTTATTTTTGAGACAGGGTCTCTCACTGACCCAAGAGCTTGCTATTTTTGCTAGACTAGCGAGCTGGTCAACAAGCCCCTGGGATTCACCTGTTTCCATTCCCCCAGGCTAGGGTTGCAGGCATACATGCCACAGTTGGCTTTTGTGTAGGTACTGGGGGTGGAGGGGTCCAAACTCAGATCCTCAAGCCATCCTGCCAGCCCCTACAATGAACTTCTCTTAAATCAAACATATACCCTAAATGAAATTTTAAATCATAAAATGTCTGCCAGACCTTATTTTTGTGGCAACATTTGTAGCTATCAGATTGAGGAAGCATCATCAATAATTGAAAAATGAAACTTGAGAAGTGGCTCTTCAGAATCACAGAGCATCATCCTGACTTCCAACTACTTTTCTCCTCTTCTAGGCACAATAAAGACATTGCCCTGGTCAATTTGGCAAACGTTCTTCACAGAGCACATTTCTCTGCTGACGCTGCTGTAGTAGTCCATGCAGCGCTGGACGACAGTGACTTCTTCACCAGCTATTACACACTGGGCAATATATATGCAGTAAATACTACTTTTTGTTTCTTTAACTATGCCAGGTGCTATGATACAATAGGCTTTGTTAGTTTAGTTTTGGTTTCATTTGGTTTTCCCTCAGTAGAATGTCCCTTTTTTCCTTTCTATTTTTGTCTGAACCATGGAAATGAAGTAATTGGTTGGGGGCAGGGGGTAAACACACCTAAATACTGTATCATAAGGCACTTAGCCTCCAAACAAAAAGAAAAATAAATTGATTAGACTTTTTAACCGCAGAATAAACCTCTTAAGGATAACAGTGCCCTCCAACTATAGTATATTGTGGGGATTTGTCACTGATCAACATCCTCTTCACTGCAGAGTGAGATGAGATTTCATAAATCATTAGAGGTTTGAACAGATGCTACCAGCATGGCTAACGTTTCTTCCTGTGTGTGTGTGTGTGTGTGTGTGTGCATTTGTCTCTTTAGATGCTTGGGGAGTATAACCACTCGGTGCTCTGTTATGACCATGCTTTGCAGGCCAAACCTGGGTTTGAGCAAGCTATAAAGAGAAAGCATGCTGTCCTGTGTCAACAAAAACTGGAGCAGAAATTGGAGGCCCAACATAGGTAATTGGAAGCAAAAAATTTCACTGTGCACCAGCATACAGACCCATAGGTTAGAACTGTATATGGTGCTATCACTTTTAACTTGGTCATTAGAATTAAGGAGGAAGCCTCTTCATAATGAAGGCCCATTCCTGTTTACCAAATTCAGATGCTGTAACACAGTTCAGTTATTGTGCAGCATCTATTCCAGGGATAATTGCAGCAAAAAGCCCACTGAGATCTTTGCTTACTGACTAGTTAGTTGGTTTTGAGGCAAGGTCTCACTCTATAGCCCAGGCTGACCCAGAACTTACTGCATAGACCACCCTGGCTGTGAACTCTCAGCAGTCCTCCTGCCTTAGCCTCCGAAGTGCTAGGATTACAGGTGTGAGGCACCATGCCCAGCTGAGGTCACTGTAGTTTTGATTGTGAGTTATTGTCAGGAGGCTAGGTCGAGGTAGAGAGGCTACAGAAATTCAGGGATTCTCTGGATTTCAGTATTTGTATTTCCATAGAACGTACCATGTCAATAAAATTGCTGTGTGTACAGTATGAGACCGTTCTACAGGCCTTCAGCCTCTAGAGTCAGACATGGTAAGTGACACTGAGAAATATTTAGCCCATATTTTAATTGGATCTCTGTGTTAAGTTGTTCAGTAATGAAATTCCTTTGTACTTAAGGTTTGGTTGCATAAATAATATGGCCAGCTAAGAAACGTCATATAATTTAGAAATGAGTTTTTTAATTTCTCGGAATTAACCTTATTATTTTCAGACTGTTTTGTTTATTAAAGAGTTAAAGAGGGGCTTAGAATTGATTAAACTTGTATCTTTGTTCATGATCTGTTTAAAGCATAATGTAGTGGAACAGAAGGAAGAATAGCTTATCTGTAACGAGCTTTTAGTCAACTTGCCTGGCTAAGCCTCTTCCAAAGGTGTGCTCTTAGTAACTGAGCTCACTCGCTCTCTCAGTCTTTACAGGTTTAAATTTTCCACGTTACAACATAGTAAGCAATAAGGTTTTGATGATTAAATATAATCAGGCAGCTGATTTATTGAAATCAGGTGATGAAGAGTAGCTCTAAGCAAAGTTTCTCTGGCTTTTCCCAGAGTCTGTAAACTGAAGTAGAATGGAAGAGAAGGGTGCTGTGGCCCTAAATTTCAGTCTGTCTGCAAAATCAAAGGGAAAGTGGAAAAGAGGGAAAGACTCTAGAAAGGTTTTGAATATCAGTGGAACTAATACAAAGTTTGTTCAACCATAATAAAGCTATTAAGTATGCAAATCATACTATGATATATTTTAATTTATGCTATTCATCTTTGTTTTTTAACCATATGTGTTAATTTATTTGTGTATCTAATCCATCTGTGGTGCTAAGGATCAAACCCAGGACTTTACACATACTAGGCTCCAACATATCTCCAGCCCTAATTTGTTTTCCCTAAGGAAAGCATTTTTTCCCTTTCTTTGTTGAAATTCTGCAAATTTCATAAAATATATTTTGATCATATTTCAATCTCCTTTCCTCTCGACCTCACCTTACTACACCCCCCACCCAATTTCCTGTATCCTTAATACATATTAAGGACTAAAAAGTCAGGTTTGTGTCCCCAGTTGCCTGTCAGTTTGGGTTCATCCACTGGAGCCTGGTCAGCCTACCAAGAGTCTCACCCTTAAATGACATTAACTCCCTTTCTCTCAGCAACCATCAATTGCCAAAACTTCGGGTAGGAATGGGGTTTTTTACTTACTTCCCCATGGCTATGTTGGGATTTTGTGTGGCTTGAGTCTACATGAGATTTTTGCATGCTGTCACTATTGCTATGAGTTCATATGAGTAACTCACTAGCTGTCTGGAAAACTTTTTTTGTTGTTGTTGTCATCCATCTCCTCTGCCTCTTATAGTCTTTCTACCTCTTCCACAATAATCTCTGAACTTTTGGAGTACATTTATTTTTAACTAATATATAAACATATAGACATGTACATACATTATAATGGGGCACTGTTTGACATTACCATGTATGCGTTCTTTGTCAGGATTAGCATCTGTATTCACCATGAAGACATGATAAACATTTGAGGAGATAGTAGTGTTTTCAGCTTAGACAGCTGGGTGAATTGCAGTGCTGCTTTGCACAGGGAAGCGGGGCATAAGAGGAAGAGCACATTTTGTGGGATGCATCAATTCCTTTTTGGAAGAACCCATGGCAGACTCCCTGCAACTGCCCCTCTGGCCTGTGTCCTTCAGCTGTCTCCCATTTGGCTGTGTGCTCAATTAGGGACAGTGAGAAAATGATAAGTCCTTTATATCTGAAAAGCCCAGCACACGATTTCATGTTGAAATATTATGCTTTAAAGACTCTGGTATGGTGTCATGCACTTTTAATCCCAGCACTTGGGATGCTGAGATTGGCTGATCTCAGTGAGTTTGAAGCCAGCCTGGCATACATAGTGAGTGAGTTCTTGACCGGGCCAGCCAAGCTATACAGTGGGACCCTACATTCACATTTTTCTCATATATTAATAAAAAGTAGCATTTATTTAGCATTGCTATTCTTGAACTTGTGATACGGAGTTACAAACTGCTGAGAACCATAAATCTATTCATTTAAGTACGTTTTTACAATTCGGGATTTAAAACTCTGACCTTCCCTGGTATTAAAACCATGAAGATCCCTGCAGAGAACGCTGAATGAGCTGAAGGAGTACCAGAAGCAGCATGACCACTACCTGAGGCAGCAGGAGATCCTCGAGAAGCACAAGCTGATGCAGGAGGAGCAGATCTTGAGAAATATCATCCATGAGACACAGATGGCCAAAGAGGCGCAGTTAGGTATGTGTGTCTCCAAGGAGGTAAGGGCAGGGAGGACATTGACTGCTGGCATGCCGTACTGTCATAACTTCCAAGCCGCCTTACTGTGTCTTAAAGCCAAGATGCCTTGGAGTAGTATACCAGGAGGCCTGCAGAGCTGCTTTGACTGACTTCTTACTGTGAAATTAAAAACCAGATCTTGAAGACTGTAGGAGTCAGGGCTAGAGAGATGGCTCAGCAATTAAGAGCATGTACTGCTGTTGCTGAGGCTCCAAGTTCAGTTCTCGCACTCTCATCAGGCAGCTCACAGCCTTCCGTAACTCCAGTTCCAAGGGATCTGATGCCCTCTTCTGAACTCCATGGGCACTTGCAATCACACATGCATATACCTACACACAAACAAACACATATACACATAATTAAAAAGAAAGTAAATTTAAGCTTTAAATTTTTTTTAACTAAAAAAAAAAATTCTGCCAGATGTGGTAATGCATGCCTTTAATCCCAGAACTCAGGAGGCAGAGGCAGATGGAGCTCTGTGAGTTCAAGGCCAGCCTGATCTTAGAGAGTTCCAGGCTAGCCAGAGCTACATAGGAAGACCCTGTCTGAAAAAGCATATATATCCTAGAAGTCTTAGATTTATCCACCTTTAGTTTGTATGTCATCTACATCCTTGAGCTCTGGATAGAGTACAGTCTCTGCCACAGACTGTGTGAGGTGGGGCTGAGATTCTGCCTTCGTAAGGAACTCCTAGGTGAGGCCCATTGCTGCTTTTCTAAATACTGCACTATGGGCAACAAGGTGTTACACTAAGCAACACAGGTAGATGTGGCAACACATTCTCTATATAACACTAGTAAGAAAGGACACATCTTTTTGTCCTTGCTCTCTTAAAAAGAAACACTATTTAAAATTTTTAGTACATATGTGTGTGTGCTTGAATGTCGTGGTCCACATTTGGAGGTCAGAGGACAACTTGGGGGACATGGTTCTCTCCTCTCACCATGGGGACCACAGGGGTTGAACTCGAGTCATCCAGCTTGATGACAAGTGCTTTTACCCACTGAGCCATCTTGCTGGCTCAGCTCAAAGACACTATTTTAGAATTTAGAATCTTAACTAGAATTTGTCTCAGGTAGGACTTCTTAACCCAGATTAGTTGCAGGGGTTTTGAAATCATGTCCATGGTTATATGGGGAATTGCTTATGTGCATTTTTTTACCTGGGAAGTAGTATATCACTTTCATTAATAGTTCTTGGAGTTTGTTATCCCCCAAATAGAACCACTGATCTAGGAGAACTTCGGAATCAATAATTTGATTGTATAGAATTTTTTTGTATGTGATTAAATCCCAAGGGAACAGATCTGGTAACTTAACAATGGAAAATAATAGAATGTCTTAAATTATACCCTCCTCTTTTGATAAATATGTTGCTCTGGAAAGACTCCTAAGAGTTGAACCTTAGCTGTGGATCATATATTGCCATTTTGAATATAAAGAATATGTCCAGATTTTAGTCTACTAAATAGAACCTTAGCTCTTACATACAAATTTGAAACAAAATTAGAAGCTACATAAAGCAAATTCTCTCTAGAGAGATGGCCAGAGGCTTTTCAAACTATGAAGTCAACAAATTCTACAAACATAGAATGTAATTGCCAGAATGATCCGTTAGTGGAGCCTCCTTGTTTTATAAAAGAAAATGGAAATTCTTTAGTGAGCTCACTTATTAAACATTAGTGAACATTTATCTGTGTAGATAACCGTAAGTACTCTGAGCTCTAAGAGGCACAAAGTCGAAACGGAAGGACTGACACTAAGAAGAACATGTTGGCATTGCTTGACCTTGCCCATCTGTGTAATTTCTTACTGCAGGAAATCATCAGATATGCCGTCTGGTCAACCAGCAGCATAGTTTACATTGCCAATGGGACCAACCTGTGCGCTACCATCGAGGAGATATCTTTGAAAATGTGGACTATGTTCAGGTCTTTTACTTTTACTTGGTCTCTTCTAGTTCTCATTAACTGTCACATATCTAAAAATAATACCATATCATCTTCCTTGGATTTCTTTTAAATTTGATTGCTAAAATTCACAAGTATCCTATAAAGCTTTTAAGATTTGAATGTCATGTGTATGAAGGCAGATTTGTTGAGTCCTCAGCTCATAGATAACATTGTTTCCCAAAGTACTGTCTATATGCATATGCATTTGATTCTTTTCTCCTTTACCATGGGAGCTAGAATTGAGCTGTTACTACTATTTAACTCAAAGCTTTCATCACTCCTTCTAAACTATGAGTAAAACTTACTTAAAATGTGTGGGAGATAACTATCTCTTTCCTGAAGTCATGAGTCCCATTATGTTACCTCACCAAAACACCAGCAAAATAATCATTATCACTAAAAAATATTTAGTAGGCACCATCACTAGGTATATGCTTTCTCTCACCTATTTCTGTATATGTGCACACAGTACCTACATACTCATCTGCATGCACAGGCTCTCTCTCTCTCTCTCTCTCTCTCTCTCTCTCTCTCTCTCTCTCGTGCAGGCATGTGCGCTCTCGCTCTCGCTCTCTCTTCAGACACTTGTCATTAGATTCAGGAACCATCTGGAAAATCTAAGATGATCTAGTCTCAGGAATTTTAACTTAGTATCATGGTAACTGCTTCTGGGTAAATGATATAGGGAGTAAACACAACCAGACTTCCAATTACTATTTAAAAAAAAAAAAAGGATGTAGAAGGAAAAAACAGCATTTATCCTATCCTACATAAGACCCATTATGTGCTATTATAGATCTAGAAATTTCAAGAGACAGAGTTAAACTTAGAAAAAACATGGCCAGGTATGGTGGCACACACTTTTCATTCCAGTACTCAGAACACAGAGGCAGGCGTATCTCTGTGAGTTTGTGGCCAGCCTGGTCTATGTAGCGAGTTCAAGGCTAACAAGGGCTATATAGTGAAACACTATCTTAACAGAAAAAAAAAAATCAGGAAAGCATTTATAGGGGAATAAACCCAAGAAAATTTGAGTCCTTTAATTTGAAAAAACTAGACATTGGGAAAGAGTAAGAAGCAAAAGGAATTTAAAGAAAAGGAATAAAGTGGGGCTAGAGAGATAGCTCAGCAGGTAAGAGCACTGCAGTGGCTGCTCTTGTAGAGGACCCGGGTTCAGTTCCCAGCACCCACACTGGATGGCTAACAACCACCTGTAAGTCCAGCTCCGGGGCGTTCTAACTCCTCTGGCCTCTGCAGGCACCTGCACACTTGTGCGGATGTAACCACACAGACACAAATATACACATAATTTTAAAAATTTAAATTTAAAGAAAAATGCCTGTACCAGGGTTATTTCTAATAGTCTGTAGTCTCAAGATTACATCACCATGTATAGCTAAAGAATCTGTTACTATCATGAAGATGTAGAGCTGTAAATTCAGTGTACATGTTCCTTTGTCCCATGACTTACCTGTTCCATCCCATCCCTGGTCCTTTTCTCTTCATCAGGCACAAGAACCATGGTATCTTGTAAGTATAGCATATGTTTTCTCTTAGTTTGGAGGAAGGCTGTCTATGTTTGTGTCCTTCATTTTCTCGTTTCTCCTCCTAACTCTAAAGCTTGTCTAAAATCTCTAAATGATTGCTGCTTTCAACCCTTAAGAATACTTTCTTAAGCTTCCTTGCTTCCAACCACAGCATTTGCTTTATAGAGTAATAACCATTTTAGTATACTCAAGGGAGAGGCACAAGTTTCTAATTTAGCTAATCACTGAGCCTAAAAGAGCCCAAATCATAAGCAGGAACTAAAAGGACAGGAAAACAGTCCATGCTATTTTTTTCTCACCCTTCAATGGCAAAGTTGAGTGAAAGCTGTTACCTGCATATCCATTGGAGAATACTATTGGGACACAGTTCTAAAAAGTGAAAGACCCTATTACTTTGGTGCTAACCTGCCTTCTGATTTTCTGTTAGACCAATGATGAATATTCACTAGATTCTTTACCAAAATCTTGCTCAGAATCCCATTTCTATTCAGTTTGGTTAAACTTTTAATTTTCTAGTTTGGTGATGATTCATCAACTTCCAGTATGATGTCGGTGAACTTTGATGTTCCAGCCAATCAGAGTGATGTCAGTGATTCCATCAAGTCCTCTCCTGTAGCCCATTCTGTTCTCTGGATCTGGGGCCAGGACTCTGATGCATATAGGGTAAGTGGATATATAGATTGGTCAAAGAATTTAAAGCAGCGGCCTTCCACCACAGTGATTACAGCCCTACACTGTTGAGCTGAGTGCAGCACACATTGAGTAAACTTACTATTAAATGGAACACATTCTATTAGGTAGTGGATCAGTAAAACACAGTCTCCTCCTTGAGCTCGTCACAATCAAGGAGGGCAGGTAGAAGCCCTGATTCCAGTTCATAGTTTTGCACTCTGAATATTATTGCCAACTTCTAGCTTCTTCACTTACTTAATGAGTGCTTAATACTAGGCTGTTACTAGGAGTATTGTAGAGAAGCCTCTTGCCCTCTTGAAGCTTACATTCTAATGGAAGAGTCAAACAATAAAACATTAATAAGTGCATTTTTAGGCTAACTATGAAGAGTTCTGTGTTAGGTAAGTTGTATGTTAACCAAAACACAAGGACGAAAATGTGTACTTTTTATTTACCATTAAATATTCAGAATTTAATTGGGTATTCTAACAGTAATAATTCAATCATTAGATTTAATTATTATATAGTACAGACTCCTTAAAGTTTGGTGACTTTAAGATATAAGTTTAGTAGGCCTCTCGAACAGTTATTTATATGTAGAAAAACGAATACTTCATAAATTACTAAAAATTATGAAGTTTTGGCGTTTGGCATAAGAAAACTGCTTTTGCACCAGTGTTTCAAGCTTACGCATGCTTCAGGTGAAGGCCCCAGCCTGTGCCTCTAGTGGACGTCAAGAAACAATGTGCCTGTTACTGTGTGAAGCCCAGGGATAGACAGAATCAACTACAGGTTTGGTTGATCAAGTGGCCAGTGATGTTGCCCATCTCTTTCCCTTCTTTACTGTGCCAACTGCAATATTAGTTTCACTTGAAAACCTGATTTCCTCATGGTCACAAGATGGGATCTGCAGCATCTGGAGCAGCATGCATTTTTGTTGTTGTAGTTGTTGTTTTAACTTTAAAAAAAAAACTTCACTGAGAATTTCATACATGCATATAAGGTGTTTTGACCAAATCCACACCCACTCTCTCCCCTCAAACACCTCCAATATTTCAACTTCGTGTACTCTTTTTTTTTTTTAAATGGGGATTTTTGCTACTCTACCATTACCCCTCTGAAGAGGTAACCCTAAAATCTTTTAGTGATTAGATACAAGCTCCCAAATACTTCTGTCATCTTTGGCCTTTGCAACAGAGTATGTTGATAAGAGGCCCAAAGACATTTTGACTTTTAGCCAAGACACTGGCTACTTTTCTTTGGGGTCTTTTTTACCCTAACTGCCTACCCATTTTCTACCTGCTGTTATCACACCATCCTCTGAAGAGGTTACCCAAATTGCTGATAGGGAATCGGGACACAGACCGCTCTGACTTCTTCCATGCTGAACAGGGGCACAGGATAAAGCAATTGGGGTACCCCTTCAGTGGGTCTATCTAAAAGACTCACAAATTGTATAACCCTTATCTGTAGGGAAAAAAGAAAGTCCTTGACTGGTGAATAGGGGATGTGAAGGAGAAGTAAAGGCAAGAGTAGTTAGCATTACGAGTTCATGACAGAGAACCAGGAAAAAAGTCAGAACAGGGCAAATTTCAAATATTCATATCAGAGTCCATTGGGATTTCTTGATAAGAGCTTCCAAAAGCATCCCTCTATTGGGTTCCTCCTCATTTTTCTTTCATCTGCCAAGGCTGGACTCAAGAGTGATGGATTCAGGATTTGCTTTCTGGTATTTTGGTAGCTGTTGGAATGGTTAGAATCAGTGTAAGCTCCCTCTCAAAGGCTTCAAGATAACTAAGGAGTTGCTGAGGTATGTGTATGACCTGAGGGTATGCACACTGGAAAGCCTTTAGACAGCATGGGTCATGCCTTCTCTTCCTAGCCTTCCCCAGATTGTATACTTTAGCGCTCCCCAAATCCAGGAGAACATGTGTGATTAGGGTCAAATTACATATAGTTGGTTGGGAAGAGTGGGTGGATAATAAAGTGAGGTCCAATGACCCTGCTTGGCACTCCCTTAATGAATGAGCACAACCGTCAACAAGCCCAATTGTGACGATGTTTAGCAATCAGGCTCAGCTGAAGTCATGATGGTGGTAGTTATTTCATTCAGTAGAGACTGCTGTACAGCATCATCTTATTAAAAGGACCTGGAATTTAAAAGGATTTGGTGCTGGGATCCACATAAGAGGGAGAACATGTCGTTTGTTTTTCTGAGTCTGTGTTACTTCACTTAGTATAACAGCTTCTAGATCCAGCCATTTACCTGCAAATTTAATTATTTCATCTTTCTTTACTGCTGAATAGAACTACATTGTGTAAATATACCACATTTTTGTTAACCACTCGTCAGCTGAGGGGCACTTAGGTTACTTCTATCTCTTAGCTATTGTGAAAAGAGCAGCAACAAACATGGTTGTACAAGTGTCTCTACAATAGGACGAGTCCTTTGGATATATGCCAAAGAGTGGTATAACCAGGTCATATGGCAGGTTCATTTTTATTTTTTTAAGAGTTCTCCACAGTGTTTTCCATAGGGGTTGCACGAGTTTGCAATCCCACGATCAGTGAATGAGCGTTCCCCTTTCTCCACATCCTCGCCAGCATTTGATATCATTTGTTCTCCTGATCCAAGCCAGTCTGATTGGGGTAAGGTGATACCTTAGGGTGGTTTTAATTTGCATTTCCCTAATTACTAATGATGTTGAACACTTTTTGAGGTGTTTCCTAGGCATATTTATTTCTTCCTTTGAGAACTCTGTGTTTAGATCTTTAGCCCATCTTTTAATTGGGTCATTTGGTTTCTTGATTCTTTGTTTTTTTAGTTCTTTATACATTCTGGATG